TTTTTTTCTTTCTTTTGGTTTACAAATGTTCAAACGGCCAGTAAGGTCTGTTGAACACATTATAAATAATGTAAAATTATATGGTATGCAAATATAATATTAAAAGGAACTTGTGTTTACTTTACAGGAACACCCAATAGAAATGGACTGGTACTTGTATAAAAAAAACAATTTAGACTACAATTCATGTTTAGCCATATATTTGTATAGCATTTAATTCCATGCACCTTAAATCCAGAGCAAAATTAGAATCACCAATTGAACCAGTATGCATGTCTTTGGATTGCGGGAAGAAGCTGGAGTACCCAAAGAGAACCAACAGGAATGCTGAAAACATGTAAATGCCACACAGAATGGCCTCGAGACCAAACCCAAAGCCTTCATGCTGCCATCTGAATATTCAGTGCCTCTATCCCACAGAGACAGTCTTCATTTAATCTGGAAGCTACTGATCATACCTCATACCTCACAGCAGCATACAGTGTGTGTCCTGCATTTTAAGAAGCTGAAAGCAATCACACACATCCTTACTCAGTCTTCATACAGTAACTTACCACCAAATTTTTATTGGATTGAAATTGCACAAATATGCTAATAAAGTGAAGGACTCCCCTCGTGTGTATGTATGAGTGTGTGTGCGTGGAGGAGGGCATCGCTTTGGTTTATCTTACAGCCACACTATTTAAGCTCCTGCAAATGGGGGTGCAGGGTTACTGTGTGTGTGTGTGTGTGTAGAGGGTAGAGGGAGTAGCTTTCAGTACCAAGGGGAAATGGTACTGTGATTTCAGACCAAATTAAGCCACATCAAACAGGCCAGATCAAAGAGTATACAGGCCTTACTGTCTGTGCCAGGCTGACATCACGACAGGATACCCCACCCCCCAGAAACACACAAAAACATCCACTTCCTCCTTCTTTCCTTCACTTTCATTTTTTCATTATCCCCTCCATTTCCTCGAGTTTCTATTTTACACTGGCAGCTTTCTCATATTTCACTGTTCCTGTAAAGACATTTTTGACCTCATGCTGATATAAATACACCCGCCAACCCCCGGCACGCACAATTTGCAAGCATTTAACAGGGTTATAGGTTAACCTGGATCAAGTATAATGTAATATGTGCTGGGGGTGTGTGATAGAGGAATCATCGAGCCTTAAGAAGTGCTAGGAGGATGGGGGAGTAGCATCCATTAAGACACCGTTTCAGCTTTGAATTGTGTTAACGATCTTGGCTGTTCTAGTCAGACCCTTTGATGCTGCCTGATGCCAGTGGCTGTCAGGTCTTCTCTATATGTGTGTGTGCGCATTTGTGTGTGTCTGTGTGTTGGATAGATGGATTAGATGGCTGCATGAGGAGGAGAGGGGGTTGATGATGAAGGACGGGGTGAAGCGGGGGTGAAAAAGGGATTGGGGGATGCAGAGTACCAGTGGAGGAGAGAATGGAATTGGTGTGTGTGTGTGTGTACATGTTTAGACATCTTTGTGAGGACAGAAAAATGTCATGCTACTATACTTGTGGGGACCAACAGTCACTCATGGGGACAAAATGCCGTCCGCACGAGTTTGAAGGCATTTTTCAGGCTCAAAATGCAGTTTTAGTATCAAGGTTACAATTAGGTTATGGTTAGGTTTAGGCTGAGGGTTAGGATTCAGATTAGGCATTCATTTTTGATGGCAA